TTTTTTTTTGCCGACGTTTCGACCGTTTAATATGATCTTCTGCAGGGCTCGAAATTGCTGCATTTTTCTGTGTCTAGATTCCAATCATTCCATGAGGTAACCCGTGAAAGTATTGGAATGGACTTGTCGAGAATTTTGGACAGATATCTTAACTTATTTGGGGTCACTCTCTGGAGTTTACTTATTTATGTACAATGATCTATAGGGAGGATACTGAGTACGGTTTCAAGGATTATTTTTAGTTGGTAAAACGGCCGACAGTCATCTAAAAAGCTTCCACAGCCACCATTGTCAGAAATAAATCTGAGTATTTCCTTGTTTTTGGATAGTCCCCTTGATTCACTAGCAGTTACTTTTCCCTATGGGGATTTCATAAACATTGAGAGATTATTCAACTTAAATCAATCACTGCTGGCACGCGAATAATCGCAGAAATGTCCAACGTCCACAATCACTGTAGTCATGCGCGGCTCTCTGCTTGGATGCCAAAACTATTTATGTATGTTTAATAATACTGATAAGGCAGTTGGTCTTTAAGAATGATTTTTTGATCGCAATGTCAACAGCAATTACGCATAAATTACACATATTTACGCAGACCAAACAAATTAGCACAAATATTGATCACACAAATATTGAACGGAGGATCGTCTGCTATGTGATCCGTGTGGCAAAACGCTCTTCTCTGCAGCTGATAGCTAAGTAAATAATACAAAGCTGATAATATTGCGATTTCGCTTGACTGCTTTGGTGTTTTAGCACTAATGTTTATTGTTTCTTTGTGGCGATTGCGATCACGCAAAGGCCAAACTACTAATACCCATAAATGTTATCAGCACTCAAGAGCGGGCATGACTAGTTGGCTGATGTGTGCGCAATTGCAATCATTTTAATTTAGAGGGCCCTGAGAGTTTTTCGAATATGTAGTTACTTATAAATATCTTCCTCTTTATTTTACGTTTATGTAGTAGATTTTCAATGGGCTGACATACTTGACGGCATACCATCGCTCCATCCAACCTTTGGTTAGCTGAGCGCGGTGGTGGTGATCGCGGCGATCAAAGCGTTTTGAATGCCGCTTAACCGCTTAGCTATGCGACATTTGTGCTTTAGTTGGTTGGCGTAGCTGCTTCATATCGGACGGTTTGATTTCAAACGGATATTTGGTTGGTTCAACCGCTTAGTGATAGGCGTTAAACTTTTGCGCGATCGGCCAACAGAGCAACTGTACCAAGTGAGGGAGTTCACTAAGTCACCGTGTCACGGTTGGACTTTAATAAAAGTGTGTAAAACAGCTGTGCGTCGCGCTCTTTGTCTTTTTCTGTTTATTTTAGTACTCGTACCAAAAAAGGAGTTTTTTATTTTGTTTTTTCGATCGTTGATGTTGTTCTGATCCCGTCCGTACTTATGTATATACAGTGAAGCAAGCAAATAGGATTTTTTGTGTCAGCTTAGCATTAATCGTTTTGTTTGGCGCGTATAATTGTTTATGTTTTTGGATCTCTAAAAATCGTGTCTTACAAAGTTGTATGACCAGTTTTGAACGTGCTGCTCATATTTTAATGCCAGCGCACTTGCCATAAACTTCAGTTCCGTGGAGTGCAATATTGCGTTTGTTCGCTGCTGCAGTGATCGATTGCATTTTAAACTTACTTGAAGAAGGTAGTGGAAAGTGTAAGAAATGTAAGTGTCGCCGTTTGGAAAAGAAACTGCATAAATAATTTATTAGAAAATAATGTGATCTAATTTGTAGCCTATAATTTTCATGTATGGAGCGCTTGTTTGCTGGAAGAACGTCATTTATTATTATGTATAATTTGTTTAATCGAAAATTATTAGTTTGAAAGGCTAGAAGAGCAGAACCCTGCTCACAGCATAGGGGAAGTATAATGGCGCTGTGAAACCATATGGTATACTAATTTCTTACGATGCTATGTGTTTTGGCGATGATATTAGTTCCACTTGTGAGATCTCTACAAGGATTGACTGTGTTGCCAAGAGTGCGTACTCATTTAGGATCTTGCAACTCTGCTTTAACTCGATCAGAGATGAACAGCTCTCAGTAAGTCAATTTGCATTGGCTATATGTGAGTGTAAAGCTTTGTGGGCTGTCTCGACTGCCACAAAATATTCGTTTGGTCTCTGATCAAATCTCTATCGGTCAAACACTTATTCTTAATACACACGTGACCGTAGGATATCTGGATATCCTAGGATATCTGGAGGCGCTCATACAATTTTACCCTTTTTTTGTATGCATGCTCACCTGCATACATATATCGACAACTTTGAATGCTAAAAGACTTGAATTTCGATATAAAACGATTTCATATCTCTACTTTTGTTTATTTACGCCGATCACTTTGACAACATACGTTGGTTTGAGCTGTCAGGTCACTTGGTCAATTTGTCGAATACCCCTAACATATTTGGAATCAAGTACTAAGTAAGTGACACCAGTATTGTATGGGTTAAACTCTCGGAGAAAAAAATTGTATTCTCATGCAGATCATATCGGGCACTAAAAAATGTTGAAAAGCTAACTTAAAAGGCGCAGCAAAGTCGCTGACCTTAAGCTGGTTTTAAATAAATACCTGGGATCGTAGATAACCATTAACTACCAAGATTTTTATATTAGGATCATTGTAAAATCGTTTTTTTTTTTAAGACATTAAAAAAGAGGAGGTTATCAATTCGAAGGAATATTTCTTTATTTATATTACCGTCGGCCGCTGTGGTGTAGTGGTAAGCAGTGCGCGCTTTCACTCATCAGCACCTGGGTTCAAGCCCTGGTCAAAGCAACGTCGCAAAAAGTATAGAAAAAGGTTTTTTCTTAACAGAGGTCGTCCCTCGGCAGGCAATGGCAAATCTCCGAGTGTATTTCTGCCATGAAAATCAGCTTCTCATAAAAATACAATTGCCGTTCGGAGTCGGCGTAAAACTGTAGGTCCCTCCGCTTTGTGTAACAACATCAAGGCGCACGCCACCAATCGGTGGAGAAGCTCGGCCAAACACTAACATATGTGTAAGCGCCAATCTATTATTATTATTATTATTCTTGTTTTCGTATGAATCGAAAACCCGAAATTTTCTTATCATTTTCTATACAAAATTTTCAAATTTTCGATTCGTACGAAAACAGGAATACGCCACATTATATTGTACCAAAATTCTACTTCACATACCAATCTTCAACAATTTGGACCCAATATTTACTGAAATATCATAGTTTTTGCATTTTCCGATCATTTATGTATACATTTTTCTATACCTATCTCGATTCGTTTTGGCTGTTACAAACAACCGTTATGCCAACAAAGTTATAATACCCGGTGAACAAGTGCGCTCGGGTATAAAAGTAATAACCCGAAAATTTCGATTATTCCTGTTCGAAAAAATAAAAACCATAAAATAATATTTAAATTTGTTTGAAAAAAATAAATATAATTTTAACGGTTAAATTATTATAAATATGATAACCGTAATGATCCCTTATAAGTATGTATTTATGTACATATTTACATTTAGTTTTCAGACATCAGCAAATGTTTTATTTCTAAAGGGCGTCACAGAAACATTGCCAATTATGATAAAAGTCTATTCTATAGTCCAAATTTTTCAAGAAATTCTTTGTTATTTTTGCTAAAATGCTACCCGTTGTAAAGTACTAGAAGCATTTATGACTCTTTGTTTTACATAATGCATATCTGCATTGAAAGAGTTTCTCATAAAAACCTCACTTCTGTGCGGAGCCGAAATGACGCATTAATTTTTTGGTTTATTCCAAGACACTAGAATGCAAGCTCTTCACATTCCTCCAAACCGGATGTTTCCTATGCTTGGGTAGGTTATTGAGAAGCAAAGGTCACTCTCGCTGAACAAAGGTTATGGAATACAAGCTCATTTTGAAAATATACAACATGGATGCCGATGCTGGTAATCACGGAAGAAAAGGGCCCACACACAATCGGTGTCAGTTGGCACAGAGACGTAACGACTTAGGCGGTTACAGCGCCAATCAAGAAGAAGAATAATATTATTTTAATGCCAAGTGATTACTCTGGCCACTCGTACACACTTTTCTATGTACACGTATAGCTTTGTATTTACGTAATACTTTAGTACGATATTTAAATACTTAAATTTTAAGTACGTATACGCTTTTAATTCAAATATGCATAATCTAAGATAAAATAAACTGAATTTAACAAAGTTTTAATTTAGAAATGAACTAAGTAAATATGCAATGATTATTATAAATATATTTTCTTAGTAAATATTTACTAAAACTATGAGCATTTATTGTGTCTAGTCCACAAAAATATACACAAAAAGGAATATAATACGTATGTAATAAAATGCATGCAACTTGACCTCTATTAACGTAACGCAGCATTACCTTATAACTGATAACATGCACCAAGTGACTGACAAGCTGTAAGTTATTTGTTTTACTAGTCACTTGTGCAAGCAATTTGACGTTATCAAAAATTTAATTTAATTTGCAAAACTTAGCAGAATAGCAGTGTTCAGTGCCGGATTGCAATCTTGGCCGTCCTAGGCCCAGCAATGCCAGTCGCCCCTTTCTCAGCTCCCGTTGTTTAATTACCACATATGGATTTACTTTTTTGCCGACCTTTATCGAAATATGATATCGATAATAAAATAACACCGATGTCTATATTGCTTACTGCTAACATTTGTCGTTGTATAAATTTTCGCTTAACAATAAACAAAAAGTGCCTTGTAAAATGGCAATTGCTTGATACCATTCTCATCGTAGCTCAGTATACTTACTGACATCCCACATGTATTAAGGGTTTGTCGTGGATACGTGGATAGATACCCTATGAGTAAAATTACTAATACCTGGTAATTCAGCTGCAGCAAAAAGCCACGCAAACACACGCGGAGAGGAATTCCATGTTTGGGTAAATGGTTTGTAGACCTAATTTGAACCCTTCATGAAAGTACAAAGCGCTGTGAAAAAAACGTAACAGGTTAGCGGCTAAAAAATAGACCTGGTTGTTTCTAAAACCATATTGCTTTTAAGAGTTAAGTGTCGTTATATTGAGTTTAAAATTTACTTTGGATCGTACATGTGTTCATGGAAAAAATTTTAATTTCTAAAGAATTTACTTTTTTTACGGGCCTACATATTTATATTCGACTTTGCAACGAATGTTTCAAATAATTTACTTGAAATTTCTAAGTCCTTAAAAAAATCCTGAACTTAATCAACAAAAAAAACACAGTTTTACGGGTACCATATTAGGCCCATAGTTTTGCGATTATATTGATTTTTGTACGTGTAAAATTGACTGTCGCACGGTGTTATATTTTATTTTTATTAAAAATTTAAATAAAAGCTTACCTCTCGTTCCCTACAAAGAAAAAATGTTTTTTGCTGCCCGAACTGATTTATAAAGTAATATGCAAGATCTTCATTGGCCTTGAACAGTGTGACCAGGTAAGCCCTTTTGGGACTTAATCCTTTCTTCGGATTCGCAATCAGTTTTCGTTTCAAAATGCTGTCGTGAAGGAAACAACTTAAAATTCTCACCTCGTTACCGAACACACACATTTATCTGACACAAAATCTGACTACATACTGGAGTACTTGAATATCAAGTTGCTACACGACTTGCAACTTGAAAGAAAGTTCTTGATCATGCAACGTCCAAGTTAACCAAAACAACCGATAATACTATGCATTACACATATAAAAATTTGCTCACACCTATGAGTTGTCAAACGTCGGGTTTGGTTGAGAACAAATTTATGTGCCTTTTTATGCACATTATCTCAACAGCTGCCACACAGAGGGGCAAAACAGGTTGCTGTCGACAGTTTTGATAGCCCAAATATGAACCGATTTTTAATTAAATTTCGCGTCGATCTATAAGTGGCGATTTTTTAAAAAGGCTCTGGTTTTTTATTTATTTATGTTGGAAAATTAAAGAAAACAAATTTTTACGTTTGAATGCTTCCATTTTATTGGAAAATACTTGAAATATCTGCAATTATTTAATTATTGGCGTTGATATTTTATATCTCTATACTAAGTTGCAGCACTCTACAATGAATACTTCCGGAGATATGTTGTGTGAAAACTTTAGTTTGTATGTGAGGTGCCACGCCCCTTGATATATCGAAATTATTTTTCTTCTATTATCATCCTTGGAGAGCCTAGATTCGATGCCCAAAATTTCAAAAATATCGGCACAGCTGTTCTCGAGTATTTCGAACAGTAAAAAAACGGCTTCCAAAATATATACTAGTAAAGATAACAAATTAAATAAATACATTTTTTAATTAAATGTGGGCAATGGAAAAATGTTAACGAATAATTTTTAAAATAATTGCAGACATTTGAAACTAATTTCAAGTATCCTCCCAAAAAGGTGGAAGCATTCAAACGTAAAATTTTTTCTTTAATTTTTCAACATAAATAAATAAAAACATAGAGCTTTTTTTAAAAAATCGCCATGGATAGATCGACGCGAAATTTAATTATCTTTTATTAAAAGAAAAGAAACTTCCTTCTAAGAATGTTTAATTTAATTTGAAAAAAGTTTCATTTAATTTGAATAAAGTTTCATTGAATCTGAAAAACGTTTCATTTAATTAGAAAAAGGTTTCGCTTTATCTGAAAAAGGTTTCACTTAATTTGAAAAGGGTTTCATTTAAACTGAAAATGCTATAGTTTTATACTTGTACAAAAACTTATGCATCTTTTAATGTATCGGTTAAAAGGGTGATACAATACTTTGCACATTACCAAACATTCCATTTTCCAATTGGGATGTATAGCACATTTGCATTCGTACATACTGTATACAGGCAGCCCAGAGTACACTAAAGCCGCATGCTGAACAATTATCACATCACTTCGATGATGACCGCTGCTCCGCATCATTGCGCACAATTCGAATTGGCGTCCAACATTTTGATTAATGTTGATTGGTTTTAAATTAATTGTTTATTACACAATACTTGCTTTCGTTTGTGAATTTTGCAATCATAAATACGTTGTTGTTTATTTTATTTATGCATAGTATGCAGTTATGTGTTGCCCATAAGGATCATTTCTGCTGCTGGTTGGGTGCTTTCTAATGATGTAGCTGCAAATTTTCTTCAATTGCATTATTTTCTCCTCCGATTGCGGCATGCGGCGCGACGTTATCGCACAAACGGGAGTGAATTACAGTTTTACGCCAAAGTTTATGCTAAAGTATATTAGTCGAATCAAGTGTGAGTCAGGTCTTGAAATTAGACGCATGTTTTAGAGAATTTAATGTAGTTTCCGAGCATATAATTGAATATGTTAGCGCGATATGTAATATCAGATTTTCTAATTTTTTCGACTTTTAGCATCGTCTTGCATGATTTCGCGAAAATAATTTTTCGCACAATAGAAAAATTATACCAAAAGTTTGGAAAATTTACAGTATTTATACCTATGTAATTTTTAAGTACCTATAACCTTTGTTTTTCTGAGATTAGGAAGCAGATTGTTTTCAAAAATTTCGCTATATTTAAAGATTGGGCTATTTTTATGATTTATAGACGTTACAATTATTCAAACTTCTCTACATTTTAAATTTAGATTTTCCAATAAAATAGAGAGTACAAACTAAATTTTCGAAATGGATGAAATTTAAAATTCCCGCTAACAAGAGTGGCAATGAGGCCATATTTACCTTATTTCACAATTCTCTATTTTTAAGAAAAATTAGAGAAATTAACGTGAGAATTTTTTACAGGCGCTTTTATTTAGGTATGGGCTGTTATGTAAGTTTTCTGAAATGCAAAAATACAGCGCTGTATAAAAAGTTCGATTTCGCCCAAACGTATGCTTGTTTACTTTCTAATGTCCATTTGTTGCATAAAAAAACTTTAGTTAAAAATACAAATTTACCCAGTAGCGAAAATGGTCACTGGTGACATCGTCACTAATGATAATTTAGTGACATCGTCGCAAATGCTGTGAATCCTAAACGACATATAGCTGACAATGACACTGCTGGCAATGTCATGCAGGTATACTCCTATCAAAGACTTATCAACAGACAATGTCTTGCAGCGGTCACTTATAAAAAATTCATTGCAGGACATTGTCGCTTGAATGTCATCAATGATCATTAAACATAAGTGACTAATAGATGACATTCGCTATGGAGTAACCACTACGCCCTCAAATACTTTAACAATTTTACTTGCGCATTAACATTCATGAAAAACTATATAAGTATTTAAACAAAAGAATAACTAAGTAAACACCCTACTCATATTTATGGATTTGTACATACGCCTTTTCCGTATGTGCTTCTGTTTACATACATACTTACATATGTATACCATATCTTCATTAGTCTAACTTTGTTATCACATTTTTATACATACATACTCAGACGTGAAATCAATAATGTGCACTAAGTGCATACTTGAACTGATTATCAGACTTTTATTCACAAATTTTGTGTTGAATTATTCACCTTAAAGTAAGGTGAGTTACACAACGGATTCGGAGTGTAAACCAGCAGCCTGCCTAGATAATTTCTAGCGACAAGCCGGTCATGTTTTGACTAATAAGAAGAGTGTTTATATAAATTCCTAACGCAGCCACGTCGAATCAGTTTCATTTTGATTTTCTAAGCTCTACGTTCCCTTAAGTTAAGTTAATCAGGCTTTTACGGAGAGGATAACACAGGCACGCAGAAAAACCTCTTGGCCGAGACACTACGCTCTAGTCTATTCCGACATATATTTTCCCATGATTCCGCATGCGGTGTCAAAAGTGTCAAACAGTTTACCTAGCGGCCACCACAGAGAACTTTGCAGTTATCCCAAAGTTTTGATGCCGTTTTGCTTAGGTGTAAAGTTTTAAAATCTGTCTGACTGACGAAATGATATTCAAGTATTCCGAGATGTAAAATAAGCAGATCCAACAAATAAATGCAAGAATAATAAAATAATAAAAAAAAAGTATTCCGGGCTTTATTAGTCCTTCTGAAGGGTTTAATTTAAAATTGTTTAGATGTATGTATGTACCTGTAACCATATGCACATTGGTAGTTTTTTCTGAAACTTTCCTTCCAAACACGTCTGCCTTAGAATTGTTGAACTTGGAATCAATTAGCGATCAATGTGATGATCATACGTAAACTCAAATTGGGTATTTTGTCTACGGTTAGATCTAAATAGTTAAATTGACTTTTCTTCTAAACAAAATTCCAACGATGACGCGGGGAAGAGATTCTATACGCCATTATTATCCACGAGTTCTAATTTCACCAATGCTTCCGAGAGGGTAGGATTATGATGTATTATCGAAAGACTTTCCGTCAACTATTGTCCACTTTGGTTTGGAGACAAACCGGTTTAGTCTTTGTGCCATATTCACAGTCAATTTTCGTTCAGAAGGATCGCCGAAACCGGTTTGTCTTCAAACAAAATTTGACAACTTAATCAAGCTTGAAGTTGATAAATCAGAGCATCTCTCCACCGATTACTAAACTTTTTAGTCAATAAACGTTATCCTTTGAAAATGGTTCACTTGAAAGCCTCTTACCCTCGACAGAGCCGACACTACAGCTCTGCATGCAATGTCGCATGGCCCAGTTTATTCTATCCCTCATAAAGTTCATAGTTATAAGACACCCTGTACATTTATCAAAATTCAGCACTCTATTTTATTTTGTATTTTGTACACATATAGATATTTGCTAAAAATGCTCGTTGAGCAGTTGATAAAAATAACTTACTTGTTTAAGAAAATGCATTATCGGACCCTAAGTGGTGCTCATATGTACTTGCTAATAAAACTGATAAGCAAACCTTACTTTTACGAGTATCACTCTAGCACAATATATGTATGTATGTACATTTGTACATACCGATATGCGAAAGCCTCTTCGATATCAAACGACTCTTATTTAGTTGTTAACATTTATGGAGGAGTTTTATTTACACCCAAACAATTGTTAGGAATAATTTTAATATCTCTACACTCTTTCATTGCATTTACTCACATAATCCGTCATAGTTTTTTTTTTATCTTCTATTACTATAACAGCATGACCGACTCTATTGCAGCCAAGGCTGAAGAATTTGAGTCTTTGACTACAACAAATGGTAGAAATGGCAGAATACCACAAATTGTTGCCGGCCTCAATAAGCCAGCAAAACAAATACCGCTCGGTGAACAAAGTCGCGCTGTACGTCGTCAAGGATTAATGGTTATCCTCGGCAATATAGGGCTACTCTCCGCGGGTATGGCCTTAGGTATGCCTACAGTCACCATGCGTCAGCTCACTGACCCCAATGAGGCTGTCCATCTTAGCGAATCGCAGGCGTCTTGGTTTGGTAAGTGAAGATGAATGAAGTTCTTTATTTATAAGTACTCGTACGTTTGCATGGAATTTTAGTGCATTTGAATAAAATCAAAAATTATTTTCTTAGATTTCTATTTTTATTAACTTTTTTTTCTTTTTTAGCTTCGATCAACACTCTTTCATGCCCACTCGGTGGCCTTCTGTCTGGTATTCTGCTGGACAAATTGGGTCGTAAAAATACTCTCATCGTATTGAATGTGATTGCTTTGTTTGCTTGGGCATTGATGGCGTTAGCGATAGAGAGCAATGTGGATGTCGTTTTTATACAATTACTGGTGTCACGATTTTGTATTGGTAAGTAAAACTTAATATTTGAGATAGTAAAGCAAGTAGTATTTTATTGGAGTCATAAGTACACCGAACTCGCGGTTCTCAGCAATTTATTCAACTACATGGATCTTATAGCATCAAAAGCGCTGAAATGTTTGGCAATTGTCAAATTAAACCGGCCGGTAATCTTTAAGAAAGTTTGGATCGAAATGGTTTTCATTTGACATTAAAATGTAGTTACGCATAGTTTTGCCGCATTTACCAATCACATAGTCCACTGACAAATATCTAATAGGGAGCCTCCCTCTCTGGAAAACGTAGCTCCAATGCGTGCTAGAAAGAAACATTTAATTGCTTCCTTTCAAAAAAATTTCTCATTACTAGAGCTCGGAGGCCTAAAAATATGTACCATAAAAACTATAAGCAAAGTTTATATCAATAGACTGCGAATGTTTATACAGAAAAGGAAGGCTAAAAGTATGTAGGTACTACATAACTATAAACAAAATGTGTACAAATTTATACATTTCGCGTATGCTTAAGTGGTGCATATTTTTAGGCGTCGTTTTCTGCATAGAAATCCCCAGTCTGTATATCAATTTATATACAATCAGCGTAAAAAAATATGAATACCTTGACGTTTTGACGATTTTATTTGTTTTTTTAATTTCCATACAAAATTTTACTTATTTTTTATAAAAGTGTAGTTCATTCAACTGCAAAACCCAATCAATTTTTTCATACAGGACTGGGGAAAATGCAAGAAATACAAACAATTTTGATTCAAATCTTCAATTTTTTAATTCGGTTTTGTAGCACATTAAGCTTTAGTGTAATAAAATCCAAGTTTAAAGTCGCTAAAAATGGCGAATGTTTTTTTTTTTAATTTTTTCCCCCGGGTGTGTTGCGTTCATGCGTTATATGGCGGAAATGTGATAAAAAATTTCTCAAAAATCAACGGTAACTTTTCGTGACTGGAAACTTGCATTTATTATACTAAAAATTACTGAGCTACAAAATTTAATACTCAAGAATTTTCTAAGAAATTTAGTTTTTTTGTTTTTTGCTATTTTTTTGGCTTTATAACAATTATATTCAACAATTTTTATTGAGCTCGAGGCCGTTTTTTAATGAAAGTTTATTGTGGAAAAGCAGCAATAATTTGAAAAAATGGTAGAAGTTATGGCTATTTCGGAAATCACCACATTTCCTCATCAGACTTCTTTCAGTAGGATTCGAACCGACGATCACCGCTGACTCAGCCAGTTGCCTACGCACTGTGCTAAGTTTGTCTTGTTAATTATCGTTTGCTTTTTTCCACTAAATTTTGATTAAACTTTTCGGTATTTCTTGCATTGCATACACAAAAATTCTTTAAGAAATTGAGTTAAGAAGTTGAGTTTAAAAATTTAAAATTTTGATAAAAACATTTTGGTATTTCTTGCATTTCCCGAGTTCTGCATGAAATTAAAAAATGTATTCTTGTGAGTTTCGTTGTTGGATGAACTACGTTTTTTTTTTTAAATAAGAAAAAAATTGGTGTGATAAACATAAATAACTAAAATAATTAAAACGTCGGCGTGTTCATATTTTTGACGCTGACTGTATTTTGTTTATAGTTATGATGGCACATATTTTCAAGCTTATTTTTTTTTTGCATACAAATGCGGCCTCTAGTCATTAGTTACATTTTACTTAAGGGGTTTAAGTGCAACTGAAAGGTTTGACATCCGGCAATTGCTAGGATTCGTAGACCACACGAACTTGTTGTAAAGGGAAAATTGTTCCAGATCCACGTGGTATCATAATGGGCCTTTAATCGGGTCTAGAAATGCTGTGTTTTTTTTTTTAAGGTCAGCTGCTTTTTCAACTTGACGACTACTGTAGGCGAGACGTTGGAGGTCCCACACACCAAATTGGAGGAGAACCTAGGCCAAATACTTAGAAAAAGTTTAAGAGCCAACTTGATGGCCGCTATAGCTGAGAGGTTAGAGGTTAGAATTTGAAAAGGTTTTTTCGGCAGGCAATTGCAAGCCCCAACAAATTGGAGAAGAAGCTCGGCCAAACACTTAGTAAAAGTGTAAATTCAAATATTTATTTATTTTTTAGCTACTTCAACCTAACGAAAGGCCAATATAGGGTAACAACGCAGAAATGGACACCTAATTTTTGCTTTGAATTGGTTCAAAAACGAGTCTAAACTTGAAATAAATATTGCTAACTTAGAGTGAGGTTTTACAGGGCAGATGAAAAACTTCCCAAACTCATTTTCTTCAAGTATTTTGCAAACCGTTTTGATTACAACATTTTTGCGTATTCAAATCCAAACATACCTCTTTACAAATCGGTAGAGTTCAACCTTATTTATTTAAAAAATTTTGTAATCATTTGAATTTATGGAACTTTTTGCGTTTTCTTTGCACTCGTCAAATTTTCATTTTACTGAATAGAAATGGCAGAAATAACTCGGTCTATTTGGAAACGACCCTTTTTTATTTTTACTATCTATCTCCATGAAAATTTAAGTTTTTATAACTAATGAACTTAGCAACTTTTCACTCTAAGCTAGCGAATATCTACATATGTATGTACATAGGTACCTACGTAGCTCCACCTACAACAAACCTTACGCACCTCTTTCAAAATAGTTTACGAATTTCACGTTAATAGTTTAGCTTTTATTTTTCTTCTTTAACTAGGAGTAATCTGTTAACGGAACTCTTCTAAATACTAAATTCTTATTTTTCTTGTTTGGTAGGTATTACTATGGGCATTGCAAGCGCGCCAGTTGGAGTCTACTCTGCAGAAATTAGTTTGCCGCGCATACGTGGACGCCTCATTCTGGGCACTTCGGTAGCGATTTCTGCAGGCATTATGGTTATCTATATAATTGGATATTTTATACGCAACGACTGGCAATTGATTGCAATGCTTTGTTGTGCCTATCAAATCGTGGCTATGTTTTGCGTCATTCCAATGCCTGAGTCACCCAGTTGGCTGGTGTCCAAGGGACGTTATGAGGAGGCAAAGAAGGCGTTGAATTATTTTCGCGGCATGGAGAAGTCTAGTAAGTAACCGAAATGCATAATGTTTGTAATTAACGGTAACCTTTTATAATTTTTTTCTCTTGCAAACTCAAGGTGAAATTACACATCCGGAAGTGCAGGCCGAATTCAATCTGCTGCAGAAGTCTATACAGCTGGGTGAGGGTGTAAAGAAACCGCCCTTCTTGGAGTGCATACGCCAACCAGAGGTCTACAAGCCGCTTCTCATACTCATGGGTCTCTTCGCTTTCCAACAACTGACCGGCATTTTCGTTGTTGTCGTCTATGCTGTGCAGATTTCGCAAGAGGCTGGCGTCACAATAGATCCCTTCATGTGTGCTGTAATGATCGGCGTTGGACGTGTCGTCACTACCGTGCTGCTGGGTACCATCTTGGAGCGCTGGGGTCGTCGCCGTTCGGGCATGGTGTCGGCACTTGGCATGTGCGTTTGTATGTTTCTGCTGGCCGGTCACAATTGGAATGCATGGCTGCAGCGTATACCATATCTACCGGTCATTGCAATTATCGCTTTCATTGTCTTGAGCACATTCGGTCTCTACACGCTACCCTTTTTCATGATATCCGAGCTATTCCCGCAGAGAGTGCGTGGCGCCGCTTCGGGCCTAACAGTGGCGGTGGGCATGTGCTTTGCCTTTATCTGCATTAAGACATATCCAGCGCTGAAAGCATCTCTGGGTAATGAATGCTGCTTTGTTGGCTATGGTATTATGGCGTTCTTGGCAGCGATCTACGTATACACGGTGTTGCCTGAGACGCGTGGACGTACGCTACTTGCCATTGAAGATCAGTTCCGCACTGGCGTTAAGTCGCAGCGTTATCAAGCGGCTGCGGTGGAAATGCAGGAAGTAACGGTCAAATAAGTTGATCACGTGGGAATATGTGTGAGTAAATTAAATAACTAATCTTCGTATTTGTAGTGTAATTAGGAAGTGAAAGTTGCTCTTAGTTAAAGCGTTTGCGGTAGAGTTGCAGCGCGTGAGCTAAGTAGTGCTGCCTGTTAGTACATTAGATTAAAGAAATTTGCATTTTATTTTGTACAAAAAAAAAACACAAGTACTGTAAAAACAAAAAAAAAAACTTAATTTTGTATGTTAAATAAACTGTGATAGGTGAAGTTATGTAAAAAAATACGTTTAGGCTTATACAATACATACAAACATATGTACATATCTTTTTATATTGTATCCACAACTAAGCAACAATTATACATATTTTGAAAATATTACTCATTGTCGTATTATTTATTATTATTAAAGTATTACACTGCGCGACAGTAAATTTTACACACACAAAAAATGAATACATTCGCGAAACTATGGGTAAATTATTAGTTTTTCTCTCTGATGTCAGGATTTTTTAAAAGGACTTTGAAATTTACAAAATATGATTATTTCAAAAAATTATTTAAAAAATTTGGCGCAATGTAGGATAACAATGAGGGTACCATATCGAAAACATCCTTTAAAAATTTTGTTTTTTTATTTTTTATTATTGTTCGCGGATTAATATATGCACGACCTCATCATGGAATTTCGTCCTGCAAACATTATTAACTGAAGAAGGTAAAATTTATTAAAAGCGCATTTTCAATACCTAATCGTCCTTGTAAACTAAAACAGTTAATTGTTTTTAAATTCTACCATACCCATATTGTTATTCTTCATTGCACTTATTTTTTTTTAATAATTTTTTGAATTAATCATACCTTAATAGGCACGAAGTTTTACTATATTTGGCCCATAGTTTCGTGAGTATCGATTCATGTGTTTTGAAATTTCTTTGTTGTTATCGCATGGTGTTATGATTGGAAGGCAATTTAGAAATTTTTTCGTAATACATATCTTTTTCAAATATTGGTATCAGAAAAACTTGAATAACTGAATCTAAGCAACTCCGATTTAGACTTGTGATTTATCATTGGAAAGGAATAGTTTTGGGCCATTTATTCAAGTTTTCGTAAATCAATCTTGGAAAAAAGTTAAAAAACAGCTTCAAAAATCTCATTATTACGATTCCGTTGAGATGATTTTTAAATATTTTTATGCAGATTTCTTAAGCTTAAACTGTTTTCAAGAAACTATTTCTATTCGAAAAAAAAATCCCCAATTTTGGAGGTATTTTCAAATCGGTTCAGCTTACGTAAGTCTTAATATTTTTTCGAAGTATTTTGGTAGGCGTCTTCAAATATAATACATTTTTTAAACCCATTTTTTGGTGATGCAGTCTAATGTACATACATATGTATACTTTGCAATAATATTCATAATTTATGAAGCTAATTTTACCGCTGCCTAAACTGAAGTGCTTTATTGCAATTTTATTGTAAGTATTGCACTCTATGTCAATTTTTTGAATTTTTCCATTTGTATCACAATTTTATTGATATTAGTTCAACAGGTCGAATACAATCACCCTTTTAGCAGAATTTAGTAAG